CAAGGCAAGAGTGACAATTTGACCTCTGAATAGGTAACTCTGGAAGGTGTGAATCGCTGCCCCACTTTTGGCGGATGCCCAAATAAAGCCAAAATTGGATCAAACTAGAAGCCTTCCTATTTTAAAGTTTCCTTCACTTATCTGTCAAGTTTTTCCGTCTGTCCTATTTAAGGGAGGCGGAGGAGGGATTATATAAATCTGTCCCAATTTCTTGGGGAAGTAAGTGGGCATTGTTCGTGTTGGGGCAGTGGAAGTAAATTTTAGTAGTTCGTGCCAGTGCTGCTTTAAAATTGAAAAAGTTTTGACGGAATTCAAATTGGGTCTGTACATTTTAAACTATTTTGGACGTCTCCGCGAATGACAATGGTTTGGCTATTTCAGTCAAGGATTATTGAAGAAAATATCAGGAAAATTAGGAAGTAGAACACTTCAAAAGATGAAAGATCTCTTAATGGCGAAGTGTGGGGCAAATTGAGGTCCTGCAGTTTGTGGTAAAGGAGCTCGTAAAGTCTGGGAATAGGAAGGTCTATCCGTGGGGTCTTACTTGTTCCACTCTCCTCCACCTCCTCCCTATCTCCCGCTCCCCGCCTCTCGCCTTCATTCTGAGCTCACTCTCTCGCCATTATTCATGACAAGTTAGTCAGTTTGTCAAGTCAGGCACCATTTTACCAACAAGGCATTTGGTAATGTACTCTCACCTTTAGGTAATGGATAAATCCGTTAGGTGTGACTCCACCATGTTAACTGTATACACACCGATTCGAAGGTGCTTACGCAAATGTGGCACCTTTCCGTGGGACCTGTTTCACATAACTTAGGAATGGTGTGTTCTGTGGCAGCAGACTCTTCTACCCATAAGTGGAGCCGAGATACCAGAGGAAGATGCATCACCTCCAAGAACACACAATACTCTCGACGACTGCATAAATAATTGGGGTGATACGACAGTTGATCGCCATTTTCATTGTAGAGGCTCCTAAACATCAATCGATGTTAAAAGAGGCCTCTATGTATATGAAATCACTCTCTTCCTATTTCAAGTACATTTGCAAATGCCTTGTTGGTAAAATGGTGCCTGACTTGACAAACTGACTAACTTGTCATGAATAATGGCTTTGATTATGTCATTTTAGTGTACCAAGGATGTGGGTACTTCTGTCTAAACAACTTGCAGCTCCAGAGCACACCCACCACTTCATCGTTGGATTTGCTCACTATGCATCTCACCACCACATATAGCTTACTACGCCTTGAAGGAGTGTCTCCTTAATAACAGTTAAGTTAGATCACTCATTGGGTTTAGGGTCCAAGTTTTCCATCCACTGCTTGATCTTGTACCGCCATGCAGCCTGTCAGCATGACCTAAACTGCAAAGTGAGATGCGATCGTAGACATCGTCTCACCTCATCATCGACATCATCCATACTTTCCAGATTCCACGTCTCCAAGTGATTGTTTTTACTCATCAAAAAATCCACATTTTGTTTAGTCGAGAAAATCCAGCCGAATGAAACGTTAGTGAGGAATCATGCAATTCATATGCAGCCAGTTAATTGAAAGCCCTGTGTTGTATTATTCAAAATATTGTTTCTAAATACACCCTAATAAAAGTGATTTGGAAAACCTTTCGTGTTTTGATTTACTTTTCACTGA